AAGTGCCACTAAATTTTTAAGTTTCTATAAAGCCAAGTTCAAATAAGCACCCCTAAAATCAATAAGAATTTTGAAAGCTCCGGGCACTTACTAGAGTACTGTAGCTGAAGGTAGGTAAATGTCGAAATCCAACTAGGGTTTTTTGCAGCGTTGTTGAGTTACCTTGTTCATTGTCACAGGTATCTTAAGGTAACATTAACTTGCAGTGAAGTTGAATTAGCTTTACTTTGTTTAAATTTTTTTGTTTTTTTGTCTTATGCTTTAGAGTTCTTGGCAATCAGCGATTAAATATAGATTTAAGAACCTAAGAAAAACACGACAAGTTTCCTCTGGAAATGGGACTGCAGTATAGTAAAGCCTGAGATGAAAAAAAGAAAGTGTGAGGCGGTCGAGACAGAAAATGGGGAGACAGACGGACGCTGTCTCTTATACACATAGACGAAACATGCAAGGAGCATGTACAACAGTTGAAGAGGGAGATGTCGAAGTTAAGCCACCGCAACTATGGGTTGATAGGCAATTTAATGGAGGCCAAGTATATGTACCGACGTAAACGAATTCTTGAAAATCCAGTGTCAATAAACAACGTCGTGCAGGAATATCCTGCTCTTCAGTTAATGTCAGAGGTATGTAATTACTACAGTAGTTCTTTATGTAGATATTGGATTGTTTGGCCTTCTCAGTCCTCTCCAGAATTGTGTTTTTCTTTTGCAGCACAATTGTAAAATAAATTCATTTTATATTTTTGTTGTTTTATGGTGGTCAGTAATATACCAGGTAATGTGGATTTGCTATATACAGTCTGCACCAGGTTGTTTTGATTTGTGACATTTTTTTTTATGGTAGACCAGTTAAATGTATAACCAAATGTCCTAGCATATGCTTGTAAACACTATTTGCATGTAAACCTATTAGAATAAATTTGGATAATTTTTTGTTATGTAGACAAGTTGTTGATGTCAAAATAAACCCATCAATTTTTTTTCTCATTTCCCCTTTTCAGATCAAAGCTGAATTTGCAAGAATATTAGGAAAGGAGAAAATAGTTAGGAATATGACAGCTGCCTTTAACACCATGGAGTCAAATGTATTTCGTCTTGCCATGGCTAAGGGGGCTCTGAAAGACAGCAACATTAAGAACCACGTTGAGGAATTTCCCAGCAGAAAATCAGGTAGTTCATTTTTAATTAATTTAATTCATTACTCGTTATTTAATTTTTTTTTAAATCT